CAGTTAGGGGCAGGGGTCCCAGGAGGGGGTAGTCAGGGGACAAGGAACGGGGGGAGGGTTGGGAGGTCAGGGGGGGCAGGAAGTGGGAGGGGCAGGGGCGGGGCTAGGGCGGGGCTCCTCCCGTCCTCTTTTTTGCTCGCTGAAATATGGTAACCCTAGAATACTGTCTAGAAAGCACTAGATAGCTATTCCCAGTGACTACCTGTGTGTTATACGGCATTTACTACTCCTGGGGGAATACTGCACCAAAAAAATTAAAATTGCATGCACAATATTTTAAAATTCTGTAAAATTCTGCATATTGTATTTGGCAAAATAACACTATATAATCATGCCAGTTTCAATTATTTTGGCAATTTATTTCAAAATACCTCTCAGCAACTATGTCTGTAACAATACAGACACACAAAATTTCCCCCCAGAAGTAGAGAGTTAAAGAAACCCTTATGACAACCCAGTTCCTATTTCTCTGCCCTCTCTCCTCCAGAGCCCAGCTGGGGGGGGGGGCAGATACCCATACCTCCTACCCCTCAGATTCCAGCCCATCCCAGACACCCACACCCCCCAGAGCCCAGCCATGGGGCACCCTCCCTAGGCCAGACACCTGCACACATTACCCCCAGAGTCAAGCCGCAGGACAGACACCCACACCCTTTACCCTTTACCCCCCCCCAACTGTCGTCCCTCCTGCCGCAGCCCAGACACTTGCACCCCTTTGCCCCAGATCCTAGCTGCAGGTTCGCCCCCAGCCCAGACACTCACGCCCTTTTGCCCCCAGAGCCCAGGCACAGGGTGGCCCCACAGTCCAGACACTTGTACCCCTTCACCCCCAGAGTCTAGCTTTGGGCCCCCACTTGCCCAGACACTTGCATAACACCTCCTACTCCCCAGAGCCCAGGGATCCAGAGGGAGAAACAGTCTGATGCTGGGTCCCAGACTTGTGTGGAGTCTACTACTGCCCAGTGATACCCCCCTGCCCTGTGCCCAGCCAATGGCCACCATGCTCTCCCCACCCCACATTACCTGCAGGAGGTAGTGTTGCCAACTTTCTACCTGCACAAAACCAAACACCCTTGCCCCACCCCCTGCTCTGCCCCTCCTCTGAGGCCCTGCCCAATCTCGGAGGCCCCATAGCCCGCTCACTCCATCTCCCCTCCCTCTGTTGCTCATGCTCCCCACCCCCAGTCACTTGCTCATTTTCACCAGGCAGGCTCAGGGAGTTGGGGTGTGGGAGGGGGTCAGGGCTCTGGCTGGGGGTGCGGGCTTCAGGATGGGGCCAGAAATGAGGAGTTCAGGATGTGGGAGGAGGCTCTTGGCTGAGGCAGTGGGTTGGAGCACGGGGAGGGGTGAGGGCTCCAGGTGGGGGTGTAGGCTCTGGGGTGGGGTTGGGCATAAGGGGTTGGGGTGCAGGAGGGGGCTCCAGGCTGGGACCGAGGGCTTTGGAGGGTGGGAGAGGGATCGGGCTGGGGCAGTGGGTTAGGGTGTGGGAGGGAGTCAGAGGTGCAAGCTTTGGGTGGTGCTTACCTGAAGCAGCTCCTGCAGGCGCCGCCTCTACAGCTCCCATTGGCCATGGGTCCCAGCCAACGGGAGTTGTGGAGCTGTCGCTTGAGACAGGTGCAGCATGTGGAGTCCCCTGGCTGCCCCTATGCCTAGCAGCTGGAAGGGGGACATGCCGCTGCTTCTGGGAGCTGCGCAGAGCCACAGCAAGCAGGGAGCCTGCCTTAGCCCCACTGCACCACCGACTGGACTTTTAATGGACCAGTCAGAAGTGCTGACCAGAGCCGCTAGGGTCCCTTTTTGACCGGGTGTTCCAGTCGGAAACCGGACACCTGGCAAATCTCGTGGGGGAGCTCTGTGCTCCAACTGTGCTGCCCTGGCATGTTTGGCCATTCTCCCTGGCAGCCGGGCGCCGGGCGGGAGGGAGCTGCTTTTCATGCTGCTGAGGACAGCCACTACCGGTCTCTGCCTCTGGGCAGTGCAGCAGCTGCCAGAGAGAGCCTGGCTGGGGAGGCAATGACGTTCCACTCACACTCCCCGACCTGGGCCCAGCTGCCAGTGACAGGGGCCAAGCGAGCCAGAAATGTGCTGTGGGACAGAAGGGACTCCGGCCAACCAGCAAGGGGGGGGAGGAGCACTTGACCCTTCATGCCCTTCCTTACACATCGCCTATGTTCACAGCTGATCTAAATGATGTTAAGAGCACCCAAATGATATGCGGATAGATGGGTGCCTTGTAAAAGTGGACAATAAAAACAAATGATCATTGTTACAGTAGCCTACAGGCAGATCTCTCCTCCTTAAGAACTCTAAAAATCAACAGGACCATCTTAAAACCAGTCTGCCACTTTCTAAACAGTCAGTGTTGAGAATACACATCAAGTGCAATATGATCTCAGATTCTTAGTTCAATGGGGAGGCACTTACTGCATTCTGCAGGGACTGAAAACAGTGGAATAGCATTCCTGGAAGACATACTAAGAGGGAATTACAGTAACTGAGCCACAAGCTCATGGGAATATCAGATTTACCAATCCCAAGAGGTCAAAATTCATGAGTCAGACCATGAAAAATCTCACGATTTTAAGCCAAACAGATTTTGGGTTCTGATTATCTGCCTTCATATTTTTGAGCCTTTAGGGAGTCACATTCAGGGGTGCCAGAACTGGGAAGTCAGGGGAGCCATGCCCACCCACTTTTTAACAGGGGCATAGTAGCCCTGGCAGGCATGGAGTGGTGGTGGCAGGAGCTGCCTGGCCTCTTCCCGGTGGAGGACTGAGCTGGGTTTTAGCCCCCCTTGCCACAGAGGCCTGCCCCCTGCTCCTCCTCTTCATCGTGAAGCCCCTTCTCCTGGCCAGGCCAGAAGCCAGAGTCATCCATGGTAAGAACCGCCTAGGGAGTCCAGGCCGCTGTGGGAAGCTCTGGACCCTCCAACTGCCCTCGGGGGTGGGAACACAGGCCGAGGGCAGCTCTCAGGCACCTGGTCCCCCTGCCCAGGGCAGGTGGAAGGTCTGGGGCTCTCCACAGTAGACCAAGCTCCCTAGGCAGCTCTTACCATGGCCTGGCCTGGGTGTGGAGCCCTGAGAAGGAAGAGGAGAGGTAGGGGCTGGGCCACAGTTCCAGTGCCGGTGGCCCCCCAAGTTTTACACAGGTTCTAGCACTCCTGGTCACATCTTCAACCTTTTCTCTGAAACCATGACGGCTAGCAAATTACTTTTAAAAAAGAAAACTAAGATTTGCATGTAGTCATCTGACTTTCAGAAAGATACCAAATCTCGTAAGTCTCATGCTGAAATTATGCACATTGGTAACACTGGAACATCTGTGATGGTTGTTAGGCAGTCCTGGGATAATTGTTTTGTCAGATAAATATAGAAAGCAGAGGCACTACCATTACTTTCCCACAAACTGGCATATCAAAATATTACTTGACTTGTGTTATCACCTCTCCCAAACAGGATGAATGTCTCCTTTTTTGCAAATATTTCTAATATTTCCTTAATCTGAGAATACATACTTTCCAAATTTCCTGGGACTCTGTTTAGTTCTACAAGCAACACTTAGAGAATTACCAGAATATGGAATAAGTTATTTCTGTGACGTAAAACATTGCAGCTGAGTTTAAGAAGTCTATTAAAGACTTTCATATGTCTTGCATTCTGCCCTCCAATACATACCAACATGTCTATTACCTTTTTGAAACTGTATGAAATAAGGTAAAAGCATATTTTCTGTAGAGTTTTCATACTTGTACATTATCTACATAATATTTATACATTCTCTAGAAAAGCAAAGGCCACCTGATAAATATTTCTAAATTGCTTTGTTATCAGTAAAAGTAAGTGTTGTGTTATCTGTCACTTTCATGCTTAGGAGCTAACTGTTAGCAGTAGAGATGCAGACCTGAGCATTGTCTTAACTACTTACAG